TTTAGTGAGGCTATTCCTCGGCTAGAGCCTCTTTGTGACAAGAAGCGTCGCTCTCTCGGGCGCCCGGGCGTCGCAGGGCCGCGGCGGGGCTTCCCCGTGAGTCCCGTGGGCCCGCGAGCCGCCAGCGAGACCCGGAGGGCGGCGCACCGGACCGCGGTGGACCCCCGATGGTTCGCGCTGTTTGCAGTGGGGAAACCCCGTTCGGCGCCTCGCGGTCGCCCACGCAGCCGCCAGTGGCCGCGCAAGTGCTCCGTGTCCTCGGTCACCCCCACCAAGCGCACCAGCGGTGATCGGTCGACGCGAAGCGACCGCACATCCGCGAACAAGCTGCTTCGGGCCCAGTTTCGGGCTGTCTCGCGCAGAAAGCATCTCCAGATCATCGTCAGAGCCCCGTCGCACGGCACCGAGGCCTCGAGCGACTCCCACCACATGTGCGACGACTTCGTAGCCAGCGTGCCCGAGGTATGGAGCTGGAACCGGCTCGGCGCCCGCGTTCTCGGGAAAGTCGCGCAGGGCGTCCCGCGCGTCGGGAAACTTTTCTCGGAGGCTAAGGAATCGATTTTCTCCTCGTTCGCACCATCGCTGGCAACCCATGCGATGCCCGCGGGCTATTTTTTTGGGCGCGGGGGGCGCCGACTGCCGATCGCGGCGGCGGATCGCGCGGCGACGACGCGTGCAGCGAATTTCGTGAATCGTCGCTCCTCGGCGCGAACGGCGCCGTTTTGCGCAAGCCAAGGTGCGTCGGGGCCCTCAGACACGGCCTCGACCGAGCTATGGGGCGGGCGCGGCGCGGGGCGGCGCGCGCAAGGCGCTGCCGAGGTTGGCCGAACTCGCCGGTTTCAGGCAAAAACGAGGTTGTTTGCAAGAGCCGAGGGCAAGGCTTGCAAGGGGTAATAAATAGTAGATTTATATCCCCTTGCGTCTGCAACTGCGCCGAGGCAAGAGCGGCCTGGCGTTTGGGTGCCCTCGCCTTGCAGCAGCCCGGGTCGATGGCGCCTGCCATGGAGCCTCAAAAGGGGAAGTCTTTTCTCGCGCAGGCGCAGCGCTACCATGCCGCGGGTGGCGACCTCAATGCTCTCTGTCGCATAGTCGAGCCGGGAGATGGCTCTGTACGTGTCGAGTTTCAGGGATCCGCCGGCAATACAACTCTCCTGTGTGCTGCGGCTACCCGTGGTTGGTGCTCAGCCATAGAATGGTTGCTAGCACACGGTGCCGACGTGCATTCTCAACGCGGTGACCAACAGACGGCGCTACACGCCGCCGCTCTTGGCGGACGCGCTTGGATGAACAACCCCGCCCCTCAACGCAACCGACTCGACGCGGCGGTGCTCCTGCTCGACGCAGGCGCGCGAGTCGATGATCGCAACGACATGGAACACATGACCGCGCTCCTCTATGCTACCAGTTGGTCACAAACAGACATGTGCAGGCTCCTCTTGAGTCACGGCGCGTCGCTCTACGTGCGTGATCTGAATGGCCGCGATCCCGAGGACAGAGCGAAAGCCTTCAGCCACAAATCCACGCGAATTCTCATCGCCGCCGTCCGCGCGGCGGGCGGCTGGGCGGCCTACCTCCATGCGCCGCGCGCTGCGCTGCTCGCGCTGCGCCGGGAGCTGCCCTCCCTCCGCGACCGCGGCCGCGCGACGCCGTCGAGCGTGCGCGTGCACGAGCGGCTCTTCCTGGACACGCCCGGCGACGTCTTTACGTCTGTCCTGCAGTTCTGGCGCAGCGACCGCGACTACTAAGCAAACACAAAGCCCCCCCTTTTAGCTCACCTCGTTGACGTCGAAGGACGTGAGGCGGTCCCGCGCGTGCCGGCGGCGGCCGTCGGAGCCGGCGCTCGACGACGAGAGCGCGCGGACCAGCCCCGACGGGCTGGCGCCGCCGCGCTGGCGCCGCGGGACGCAGCAGAGGCGCTTGAGCTGGTCCGACGTCGCGCGCCACAGCACCTGGTGCCGCGCGAGCCCGAAG